ACACATTGGTGTCCGCCGATAACATCGCGGACGAAAACGTCGCGGAGAAAACAACGCAAGGCGAAAACGTCGTGCTACAAAACATCGTGGGAGAACACATCGCAAAGAAAAAACATCGCAGTTCTAAAACATCGTGGTATAAAACATCGTCGTCGAAAATAAAGCGGTTCAAAAACTTCGCAGTTTAAAAACATCGTCGTCGAAAATATCGTGGTAAAAAATAAAGTATCTACAAATCATCGCATGACGATAACATCGCAGACATGCTTTTTTCAGGCTTTAATAACTGTAAATGGATATTCCCATAATGATTTGTGAGCGCAAGATGTAAAGAAGGATAATTTTTACTTTCATATTTTTTATTAAATATTAAATTTTTGCTGAGAGAATAAGAAGAAAACTTAAGCATAGAAAATTAATGCAACTTATAGCACTTAATAGAATTTTAAACGATATAGTTAACTAACAAAGACCATTAATAAACAATTTTTTATAAAGATTTTACAGGTAATTTTTCATAAAAAGTATTTAATTTTCTAGTTATTTATTAAGTTCAAAAAAAAATGTGAAAGTAAAAATTCCCCTTCCTTACATTCACTTGCGCTCACAAATCATTATGGGAATATCCATTTACATTTATTAAAAGCCTGAAAAAAGCATGTCTGCGATGTTATCGTCATGCGATGATTTGTAGATACTTTATTTTTTATCACGATATTTTCGACGGCGATGTTTTTAAACTGCGAAGTTTTTGAACCGCTTTATTTTCGACGACGATGTTTTAGAACTGCGATTTTTCTCTTTGCGATGTTTTGTAGCACGACATTTTCGCCTTGCGTTGTTTTCTCCGCGACGTTTTCGGCTGTAACCAACACATTACCGACCGGTAGCCTATTAATCGGCTTTTTATCGCCAACGGCATGTTCTGCGTACTTGAGGTCAAGTTGTTATCGTGACTACTCGTAGCCTATTACGGCTATTACGGCCACGACTACCGACTGATAGCCTATTAATCGGCTTTTCATCACCAACGTCTACCGCCGATCACCTAACGCTATCGACCGATAGCCTATTCGCGCTTTTTTCTCGGGACTACCCAAAAATAGCCTATCAATCGGTAGCCATGGCGATAAACAATTGCCATTTGCTATATCATCTGCATTTTATTATTAGTATTGAGGTACATTGCTCACTTGCGTTGCTTCGTAAACTCCCACATTTTCACACCGTTTTTTAAAAAAAAATTACCGTTCACGATGAGCGAAAAAAATGATACTGGAGAGTTTTATTTAGACGATTTATCAGATTGTCCTGACAGAGCGTTCTGATTATGTGGCGTTGCGTGCTTCTAGCCATTGGGCTTGTCTAGCCGGTTTTTCTGCAAACCAGAGCCTTTCTGAGCATTATTTTATCCTGTGAGCCGTTACGCTAATATTACTACATTACGTATTTAAGTTAAGCCAGAAGTGTTGGCTTGTGTAAACCCAAGTTTGGTCATCCTTTGTGCTCAAATAAATGGGTATTACACACCCTTCTTCTGACTTTTGTTTTTGTAATCATAAGATTTTAAGATAATTCTTCTATAGCACTTTTTCCTCAAATCGATAGCGCATGCTTCCTAAGAATACCAGACTTTATATAGCATCAAATCAGACTTGGTTGGAAACTTCTAAATTGTAATTGTAAATTATAAAATTGTTGGAAACTTGAAAAAAATTTTTAAATTACCCTTTTCCTCTTTTTTTAGTGACTATCCAATGGTTTTTAATAACATATTTTATCCACAGATCTTTCAACTAATTCCTGAGCTTCATTAGCCTCCACAGCTTCATCATATGTATTAAGAAATTCTTGACTTGTATTGTACATTAGATAACCTTTTAATTGCTCTGGTGTTACTTGAAAGACTCTGATAATAGCATTTTCAGCTAGTTGTTTTCTTTATGTTCATCACCTGGGTTTGATGGTAAAATTTCTTCAGATTCTTGATATGCTGTATCATTATATTTCAAAGAGTTGCAATCATTTTTCTCTGATCTTTGTTGATTATTTCTGAAATATTTTCATTGTCATTAATTTGTTTCTTGTCAAAAATAATAAATTCATCTAATATTTGATTTTTATGTAACTTTAAATCATGTCTGTTCAGCAAGGCTAATCTGATTTGCTGATCATTAAATTTAATCTCTCACTTCTTGAATTTTATTTAGTTCAGAAATTTAAATTTTATATGGCTTTCTCTTCATGCTGTAGCCTGCCATAATACTTCCGAGCTTTTAAATTCATTTTTCCATGTTTTTCTCGTTTTATATGAATATACGCATCACAACTAAATCTTTTGAGGTTAGTAATATTAAGCTTGCGTCTTGTGTAAAGCTCACAAGTTGTCAGTTTTGTGTCCTTTAAGTGACTCCTGTTATTCACATGGACAGCTACACTTTCATTCTAAAATTTTATTGGTAATTTTGAAAAATCAAAATTTTCTAACAGTTTCTATTACAGTACCATTGAAATGTTCAGCTTTATCATTGCTTTCCGGAGTGTAAGGTGTTGTAAATTCATGTTTAATTTCCATGTTCTCTAAAAATTCCTTTATACTTTTAGCTAAAAATTGACTGTGAATTACAACGAATTCTTTTTAACTTTTTCCTATCTACCTTTCTTTTTGAATGATAATCTTTATTAAAGATTCTGCAGTTTCACTCTATTTTTCAATTCTAATCATAAACAGGAAGTTTCTTCAATCACCTACCAGTGTTAAAAAATAACTTCCATCTATTGACTTCTTGATTAGTCCAACTAAATCTGTATGCCATAATTGTAAAATATCTTCAGATTGCTTGCATTTGACACTTTTATAAGAAGTTCATTTAATTTTTCCTAATTTGTAAGCTTCAGAATTGTTTCTGGAAATTTTTACATTTTCTAATCCAATGACTGATGAGTGTTTCTTCATTTCTATCAATATTTAATAATTTAGGTCACAAATCTCTGATGTCATAGTATATCATTAGCATAACTAATTTTAGCTTTTTCTATTATATTTCCTTCAAAATATCTTCAGATTGCTTGCATTTGACACTTTTATAAGAAGTTCATTTAATTTTTCCTAATTTGTAAGCTTCAGAATTGTTTCTGGAAATTTTTACATTTTCTAATCCAATGACTGATGAGTGTTTCTTCATTTCTACCAATATTTAATAATTTAGGTCACAAATCTCTGATGTCATAGTATATCATTAGCATAACTAATTTTAGCTTTTTCTATTATATTTCCTTCAAATTTATTTCCATTTCTCATAGCTGTATATAGAATGTTTTCATGTTTATTGATCATTTAAGTTTCTTATTTAGTAAAAATTACTAAATATAAATCTATATTTTTTTTTTGGTATTGATAGTAAATTTTCGCTTAAATTCGGTACTTGTAAAATATTTTTCTTATTTCTATCTCTTCGTACACTTTTAATATTACCAATTACCAACTGATTTAATCATATCTCATTTTCAGTTCTCATTATATTTCAATCTTCATTCTTAAAACTGGTACATCATATTCAGACTTAAGGAACAACTCAGAGATTATGGAAAGTTTCTAAAATGATTTTGGATGGTTGACCTTTACAGCTTCTCATGAACTTCATGCAGCTCCAAGATAGGTGTTTCATTTTAGACAGACAATACACCACTGCCATTCAGGCATTACTCATGAAACAATCAAGTTCCACACAGTCCATGATTCAGATTTAAATTTCAGTGAATATCTGTGGAATGCTTTCAGTGAAACATCAGACCCATAAATCCAGAATCAATATATAAGCCAGAGTCTATTCTAGCAAATTCAGAAACATTCAATTATTCCAAAAATTTTCCAGTATCAGATGAAATTGATCACATAGCACGTGTAGCCTGTCATTCATACTAAAAGGAAGTGTTGTGGCAAATATCAATACTGTAACTTTGAAATGGGTTTCTTTCTATTCCATTTCAAAGAACATTTCAGTGAAAAGAAAACTGCATAGTAATGCTTAGTCACAAGCAGTTTCAACATGCTTGCTGATATATCTACTCATTTATTTAACATTTATAAAATTATAAAATATGTCTTAAATATTAAGAATGTTCATTCCACATTTTTCGCTAGTTACCTTAATTTTATATAACTGCTTTAATTAGAACATTATTCATCCATTCACAAGGAAGGGAAACGAAATATTTTTCTTAATGTTATAAATTCCTTTTATAAAAATTCTAAAAGATTATCTACTGATGACTATGGATAGGACTCATGTAATATGCTGAAATTTCAAAATCGTAAAAACAACCTTGTATTTAGCGTAAGTATATTGAAACACTCAATCGATTTCGAGGGCAGCTAAAGGTCCCTCCACATCAAGAGAAAGAAATATCTAGAAAGAAGAAAAATAAAGGGGAAGGAATCTCAGAAACACGTGGTCCTTATCAGCACTGCACGTGGTTATAACCGGATGTTTTTAATCAGAGTTACACTGGCTGCCTACTTTTACTGAGCCAGGCTATCTGATCAAACATGTAACACAAAGGACAAGAAAATTACTTCAATTAAGTTCAGATTTTCAGAAAAGGAAAACAAGTTCAGATTTTGAGCGTGAAGGTGCAGTTGCCCCTCGCTCCCTATTTTTAACTTCGCTAATTTTCTTGTCCTTTGTGTTACATGTTTGATCAGATAGCCTGGCTCAGTAAAAGTAGGCAGCTAGTGTAACTCTGATTAAAAACATCCGGTTATAACTTTGTGCAGTGCTGATAAGGACCACATGTTTCTGAGACTCCTTCCCCTTTATTTTTCTTCTTTCTAGATATTTCTTTCTCCTGATGAGGAGGGACTTTTAGCTGCCCTCAAAATTGATTGTTTCAATATACTTATGCTAAATACAAGGTTGTTTTTACGATTTTCATTGTCACATTAGCGTGTTTCTCTTCTAGTCTATGCTGAAATTTGTTTATAATTATAACATTACAACTTAGAAACTTATTCATTTTTTATTGCTACACTTCTTGAACAATAATGGTTTAGATCTCCAACTTCTTCTGGTTTTCGGCAGACAAAGAAAACACTTTTATATTCATAGCACATCATAGAACGAGGATTTTGAGAGTATGGTGTGACAACATTCAGTTCTTCTTTCTAAAAAGAAACAATGATATAAATGTGACATATTAATAGTTAAACAGATACACATACATAGCCATTATAGCTTAGACTAATGACAAGCAAATTACCGATATTAATCTATCACTACCATTTATGCCTCATATTATGACGTGCCTAACAAAGAATTTTGTAAAATAAGCATTTTAAATCAATTCCATGATGAACTAAGAAGAAATATATGTTTTCCTATAGTGTTACATGATTCTGTCATTATCATCGATATTAATTATGTATTTGAATTTCGAATTTGCTTTAAGACTGATAAAAATTAATCTATCTGACAGGGAAAAAATCACTATTATTTAAATGAATAAAACACAAGGAAGTTAAAGTTGGACAATAACCAAAAATACTAGATCTTACTTTTTCATGCAAAACTAAATAATTAAAACTAATCAGGGTTATATACCTTTTAATACTCATCAATTTTATCACCAGAACACAATTAAATTAATTATCCCCGGAAAAAAAAACCTAAGATCTGCATTAATCTTCTGAAAGGCATAACTGTCATTTTCTGATCATTCTAAGACTTGTTCTCACTAAGTATATATTAGCTTATTATTTATAATAATTTGTTTTCTGATTTTCTTAAATGATCTACTATCGTTCTAATGAAAGGAAAGTTAAGAAAGAAGAGTAATATAAGCAATGATGTTTTACTACTGTTCATGTACAGATCCAAAAAGCAGTACCATTCAAAGTTAATTAACCTTCTCAGTAGCACAGCTTTTTAGATCTGATCATGAGAAGTGTATTTAAACAACATTTATTAAATAGATTTGCATAATTATACAGTTTATATTTCCATAGCCTTACGCTCATTAGAATCATGTCAATTGATAAAGAAAATACAAAATCAAAATATTTTAAATTACAAGGTAACATATATGAAGTCACAACAATCTAATGACCAGATAACAGAGGTCATGTTGTTCAGAGGCTTAAGAACTGTAATATGCCTGGGGCAAGATAATAATTTCAATATTAATAAATATATCTTCATGAAATCTTTACTCTGAAAATAAAATTCAATTTTTGTCCCAAAATTGGTTTAAAAAATTGAATAAGTTTATAAAAAGATTCTGAAAACAACAGCTTGAATATATACTTCAAGCTATGCAAATATGTAATTAAAATTATATTCATTTTAATTCTATAATTTTGAGGCACATTAGGATGATACTAAATTCCAGCATAAGGTACTTTTCTTCATTCTTTGTGGCCCAGGTTCTAATTAAATTGGATATGCATATTGTTCTATATAACAGAAAAATGTTAATTCCTTCAGTTGAGATTTATTCTTTAAGATTTGCTACAAACCATTACTGCTCCAAATAACTAAATCTGACTGTCAAATAACACAAATGTGTTTTAGTATTCAATGGATAATTTATGAACAGAAAATGACTTTTAAGATTTTAAGTTATACAGGAAAATATACAGGCATTACATTTGTTTACATATTTTTACACGTTCATATTTTACACAGCAACCTACCTTGAAATATAAAAAACAAGAAAGATTCTCAAGACCAAAACCAGAAGTTGCTGTGAAGTTTTCATGATGCAAGGCATCACCATTTCAAAACCGTTCTAAACTGACTTACTTTATAATGCATTCAAGTTTCATCATATATTCTGGAGGTTATGTTCTTTGATTAATTTCATTTTGTAATTTTCTTAAAAGCCTTATTTATCAAAGTATTTTTAAATATGATAAAACTAAAGTTAATAATGAATGTACATATTATATGGATAAGTTGTATATGTACTACAAACAGATGCCCAACAAAATTAAATCCAAACATTAATTGAGTAAACAATTGGTTGAATCGATTAAAACAACTGGTAATTAAAATCGCAATAAAAGCCTTGTATTTAGTGTACATAAATGAAAACACTCAATCAATTTCGAGGGCAGCTAAAGGTCCCTCCTCATCAGGAGAGCAAAATTAGTAGAAAAACTCTTTTTCTTTTTTCTTGTAATTTCGTTCTCCTGATGAGGAGGGACCTTTAGCTGCCCTCGAAATCGATTGACTGTTTTAATTTATGTACGTTAAATACAAGGATGTTATTGTGATTTTAATTGTCACATTGGCTTGTTTCTCTGCCATTCTAAGACAACTGGATTTTACAGTAAATGATCAAACAACGTTTAATAAGAAAAAACACGCTGAAAATTGCCAGGGACAGGAGGATAAAATTTCATTTATTGCTGAGAAACAATTTCCCTATTAAAAGTTAAAGAATTAAACCCAGTAGATTTGGATATCTACCAGGAGATCAAGAGATGTGACAGAAAACTGGGAGACATAGTGAATGAATTTAAATGAATATTATGTAAAATTGTAGGGAAATAAAGCATAATGGAAAAGTAATAATATCTCTGCTTATTTCTAACAGCAGAATTAATTTGATAACATCTGATCCAGCTCCCACTAGCTCCCATTTTTTTGTTGTAAACCTTTACAATTATTGGTTTTTTTGCAGTTCTTTTCCGTGTCTCAACATCAATCATAGAGTTATTATGGACTGTACTCATCAAACGTACATCCTTCTTGTCTTTCCAATTCACAACCTCATTTTTTCTCTTTTTCTGCTGAATAGAAGTTGAAGATCTCTCACTGTCTTCTATCTTATGTAAAATGGCACGAATATTCATAAAACCCGGAGGAGGGGGGGGGGAATTCAATCAGAAATAGAATGCCTGATTAGTACTGCCCTCTAGGAGGTATTAAAACAAAAAAAAAAAAAAATAAATAAAAAATAAAACCTCAAACAAGTAAACATTTAAAAAGTGTTTTAAACATTTAAAAGTTTTAAAATGTACAAGAATGCTTGAAGCGCATTACAGACGATGAAGAGGTTAATAGTCAGAGGGTTAAAAAGAAGAGTAGGAAAATTTCAAACTTGCACCCAATAAGTAAATTTTACCTTATTATTTTAATTCAATTAGAAATAGAATGCCTGATTAGTACTGCCCTCTAGGAAGTATTAGAACAAACAAAAATAAAAACTCAAACATGTAAACATTCAGAAAGCATTTTAAACGTTTAAAAGTTTTAAAATGTAGAAGAATGTTTGAAGCGTGTTACAGCCGCCCTGCAGAAGTTTCACTTGAACGCGCCAAATGCGTTACGGATGACAAAGAGGTTAAACAAGGAACAAAATGAACAAACGGAGAGCTATGTTTATGCTATATATAGAAGTATGTAAACATTAAAGTAAAACAAAATTCAAGCCTGAATTTGCTTATATGCATTTTATAACTTAAACACATAAATTGTTTGCATTATTATTCCTTACAAGAATTGTGAAGCCAAATTTCACAATAATTTCTCTAATTTCTTCATAACTAGGTTCTATAGAGTTTTCATTAGGTACATCAGCATGGTGATATAAAAGAGGTCCCAAATTAATCCAGTATCCTCCAGGCTTTAGGATATTCCATGTTGTTTCTATGTAATCAATCACATTATTAGCTGTGTCTAAAAAGAAACATGTAGCTATGCAGTCCCAACAATCTGAAAATGAAATAATAAGAGATGATTATGATCTGTATTAAACATATTACATTAAAATTTCAAATTAACAATATCATTCTAACTGTGCATGTTTCTATATGAAAAAATCTGGATTTTATATACTTACATATATATATATTTCTAAACTGCATCACTTTCAAATTAATCCATGTCATATGATCTCGCATAAGGCAGCTAATATAGATACTTGCATAAATGCCAATCACGATGATTTGAAATCAACACCAAGACTGGGAATCATAACCTTTTGATTCTTTCCCAGGTTTTCTTTCTGAATATGTTACTTTCTTGCTTTGCTTATTTCCTGTTAGGACGTTGTTATTTATCTCTCTCTCATCCATTACATTTGTTTTAAGAAAGATGTAGGAAACTTACTAAATGCAATGAAGAAATGCATGAATCAGAATATACATCTCAAGAGTGGTTTTGTCCAGAAATAAAAGATGTTAAATTGTCCCGATGGCTGCATCTGATTGCAGCTTTGCAATTATGCATTCTACATGCCATCCTCATCTACAAGCTCATTCAAGATTATATGAGTCTTCTCTACGCTTAAATTATTACACACAGACACTGTATACACAGTACAAAGTCCGTAATCCAGACGTCCATTATCCAGAAGGATCTATATTCCGGACCTCAAAGCCACAAACTTACGCATGCGTGTAAAGCGTTTACCCACGCGCGCTTCTGATAGTGAAAAAAGTGACAGAGAAATTTTTAAAAAAAAAATTTCAGTTGGCAAGTTAGTCGGTATTCTCGACACAGCAATTACAAGACCTTGAAGAGTGGAACTTTGTAACTGAACAAGAAATTATGTCTGTTTATAGAATTAAAGAGAAAGTATTAGCCCAAAAAACGAAGCAACTTAAACAACTTACATTGAAAGAAATATTTAATAAAGTACACAAATAAATATTAAGCTCTTTTTTTTGTAAATTTTAATTGCTCTTTATTTAATAAATTATGGTTTCATATTTTTAATTGTATAGTTTCTACATGCCATCTTACCAGATTTAAATTGATGATCTATAATCCGGAAAAACCCCTAATCCGGAATTGCCTAAGTCCTGATGAGTCCGGATTACGAACTTTGTACTGTATACATGTTACTTAAATTTAAAATTTATAAACTGATGTACATTATGAATAATGTAATACTGAATCAGTACATCAAAAAGACTGGTACTATTGCTGCAAACATATGAATTATGACAACTACAGTTTAGTTGTAGTACCTTACTTGAGGTGTAGAAAATATAATATATATATATTTTTTAAAGATGGCAAAAATATTGTTGCGTACATACGGGTTCATTACAAACTGAATGCACAAGTCCGAAGAAAAATGAATTAGATTTATTATTATCACAAATAAATAGAACAAAATGCTTAAATTTCCTCAGATATTCATACGATAGTGCAATATTTCACAGTAGTTATCTTTTAACTACTTAAACGTTAAATAGAACTTAATTCAAAACAGCTAGAGAAAGCTAACGTACGAATTCGCTACAATCAACAAGAGTAGTTTTCTAAACAAACTCTTAAAACAACAACTAACTAACTAAATTGAGAGGTTTTCCTCCTTTTTATAAGCTTTTTAAATCACGCACTAGATTATTCCAGCAATTTCTCAAAATTAAAAAGAGATATTTATTTATTAAATGTTTTAAATGCACGTACTCTTGTAATTTTAATTTTCCCGCTTAGCTCTCTTTTAATATTCGTCACTTGTAGCACTGCACGGGGAATAAAACAATTTATTTATAATTCTACTAACATTAACTATTTAAATACCAAATCCGTAACACTGCTGGATCTGTATCCCAAGCACTGTACGTCCCAGGCAGTAAAATCCTTAGATGGGAAGCTAAATTTACAACTAAGGCATAAATTCAATAATAAACATTACATTACAATAACAAACATGAATAATAAATGTAATAACTAACTAAAAAAATCAAATGCTATCAAATACTAAATACAAGTCAAATCAAATACACATTTAGAAACAAAAAGGACCATCATCTTACACTATTTACAATTATTTACACTTTGTACTATGGCCATAGTGAAATAACCTGTCGTAATGAATGACTTTAGGTTTAGAGTTTGATGACTTGATGATGAATCCAAACGACGACGTCACTCAGCCTGGTTTAGGACTGTGTACGGATCATCCCAAGGTGACTGTAATTTCGGACAGTCCTTTTCGTCGAGTCAGATTCCACAACCACACCTTGTCTCCTTCGTGAAATTGATGTCCAGTAGCTCTTGTGTTGTATCTGGTCTTCATTTTCTCCATCACCAAGTTGACTCACTCTCGTGCAAAGTTGTGCATCACTTCAAACTGGGCCTGGAGATCTTGAATATATTCCTCAGGCGATGAAGGAGCATAGGGAGGGCGACCAAACAAGACATCACAAGGCAGACGAGGGTCACGACCAATGAGCATCTGAGATGGAGAATAGCTGGTAGTCTTGCGTTTCTTTTCGACCGTAGAACGATTTTGGCAGCTTTCTGAGCTGGGTCTTTCAGACAAGGCTTCGGCATTTCCAGGTGAGGATTTCTTCTGAAGATGGATAGTGATGTCCTTGGATGCTGAAAGCAGTTTGTTGTTTTTGAAGTCCAAGGAAAAATTGTATTTCCTTAAAAAGTCCAGTTCGAGTACGCATGGATGTGAAATATCCGCTACATATGCCATGTGATGGTAAGCAGCACTTCCAAACATGATGTTCACGTTTACCTTCCCAGCTACGGAGATTTCTTCGCCAGACACTGTCTGGAGGGTAACACAGGATGGCGTCCAAATGAGTTTATCTTTAAACTGTTGAGTTAAATCTTTCCAAATGATGGTGACATTAGCTCCTGTGTCAATGATCATATTGCAGGGAATCCCCTCGATATGCCCATTCATGGATAGTCCATTACTGCTGCCACTCACTGCAGAAATCTTGAGCGCTTTAAAGCGGTGTTTTTCATTCTCTGGCAACTTCCGTTCCTTGATATGGTCATTCATTTCCTCCGTCGTTGCTGAGAAATGGTCTTATTTTCTGTACCCTGGAGTTTCTTGTTACTCCTTTTTTGTCCAATGGCATTTAATTGTCTGTCTTATTTTTAGTGCTCTGAAGTGTTCTGCAGTTCCTTCATATGTGGCCTTCAACACCGCAGTTCCAGCACTTTAGAATTGGTTTCTTTTCACTTCTGTTCCGTCTCAAGCCACTATCTTGTCTGGTAAAATCATCTGTTTTATTTTCTGTACGCTGGGTTGTTCTGCAATTCCGTCTTAGGGGACCTTCACTACCACATCTCCAACACCTTAGAGCCACTTTGTTCTCACTCCTGTTCCATATCAAAGCGTCGACTTGTCTGGATAAATCCTCTAAATGAGCCATCAATTGATCCACTGGCTCGTGGACTCTTACAGCTCTGACTGGGTAACGATCTCTACGAGTTCCTTGGTGAGCTCCTTTGAATTTCATGGTGTACAACAGAGTGATTTTTAAATCTTTAACATCAGCCATTCATAGAGCTTTCTGTATTTCGAGATCTCGAATGCTGTCGATGAAATATTGCAGGGACAGGATTTCCCTTGTTTCTTCAAGTTGAAGGCCTAATAATGTTCTCACATCAATTTGTCAAGCATATTCATTCAGAATCTTTTTTCACAAGCTGATATTGCTCAACTATGTACTGAAATTGGCCAAAATATCACAAATAGAGCTTTAAAATATTTGACTCTTATAAAGTTTAACCATATCTATATTTATCTAAGTAAAGATTTTACTACTAATTTGAAAGGCTACAGCAACAAAAATTTAGGAAAAAATTTAAATAATTGGAGATTTAATATAATTTACAACAATATTAGTTAAGGCTTAACTGCCTCTATGTTGTAATAAAAGCTTCATTATCTAATATCCAAATTTCACATATCTTTTCCAAAAAACTTTTTAAAAAACTTAAAATAAATTAAAACAAATTAAAAATTTTCTCTCTCTGAAATTTTTCAAAAATGTTTTAAGTTTAAAATAACCATTATTATATTTTTTATGAAACCAAATTTTTTAATTTAAAAAATTCAAAACATAACACCAATTTTAATACATATATAAAAAAATATAATAATACCTGGCTCCTTATAAATTTCTATATAGCTTCCAGCAGCCATTGAAAATTCTATTCCAGATGGCAAATCGCAAGGATCCACATCAGGAAATCGCACCATTTGAATTTGATCATATGCCTTTAAATTATTGTAATACTGATGGACCCAAGGATAAATACGATATAAATCTAGCCCTTGACACCTGGAATTAAAAATAAATCTTTTTACCAACAATGGAAATAAATTTAAAAAATTTCTGCACACAGAGAAGTGCAGGATAATACATATGTCAGTGAATAATAAGAAACTTCATATTATAAGTCAGTGAATTTTCAATGCATATTAATACAAGGTAGAAATACATAAAATTTGGCAGTTTCTTCTAAAGAATTTCATAACAGTAAACCCTTGCCAATTGTTGATTTGGGAAACATGATTTTGCATGTACATGTCATCTTAATTGCTTCCATTTAATTTGTCCTGTTTAATTTTATTCATATATAGTTCAGTGTTCATTCATCAACACTGACTGCTTGCTACCATCAACTCAGGCCAGAAAGTGACCAACAATTTTAAAGGGTTTCCATTAATTAAAAAAGAAGCCAAAGAAATTACAATCACACAAATTACAAAAGCAGTTAGTGGGGGATATGAAAGTAAAATCCTCTCAGTCAAAGACTGACACAACTCCTGTTCCTTATACCGGCAGACAATGAAAGCTACGATAGTGAAGAAGATAAAGCACCATTCACTTACAAGATTGCAATAGTGATTGACCCAAATGGAGAAAAAAGACACTTTGAGAGGGACTAAAAAACTGTGCTTTTTCCCAGGAAACTTCCAAGGAACAGGAGTTGTGTCAGTCATTATTCGAAGCAAAAATCAACTTTAAAAAAAAATAATTAATATGGCATACTTTATTAAGCAGTAAATAAATCCTTTCAATTAGTATTTAATTTTTCCTTTTAATTAGAATAACATTTTTGTTAGGTGCCACTAATGTAGAATAATGCTCAATCTTGCATTATTAATGTTATAAAATCCAATGCTTGCCTTTCTCTTGGGTTAATAATAATGTTGTTTTATGATAAATTAGCATTACTCTATATTTTGAATTCGAAATCCAAAAGCAATATAATAAGAATTTTCTTTCTTTTTTAACTCCATTAGATTACAGAAAGTCAAAAATTTACTTAATAAAAGTTTCACCCTTACATATCTGGCAACCACCTCAGGCGGTCTGATGATTTTTTAATGAAGAAAAAGAATAATGACTTAAAATTGTAAAAAAAAAAAAAAAAAAAAAAAAAAAAAAATTCATACCACATTATTATATATATTTATGTTTTTATCAAGTATTATGAAAAAAATTAACAATAAACCTATTCCCAAGAGTTTTCATTCTCTACGGGAAACCTTGTGTTGATCGTTTTAATAATATAGCCCAAAGTTGAAAATCTCGAATTGTTGGAAATACCAGATTTGAGATTATCAGTTTTAAACCTAGTAAGATAGAATGCAGACAAGTACAGGCTGAAGCAGGGCCAGCGCCTGCATATCCATCTATGCATAGTAGGCATTGCCAGGCCTTACTAACTGCTAAGCTTCTGCCCCAAACGGAATTCCGAAGGCGAATATTCCGGAAGGGGGTTCCAAGAGTCTCCTGCCTCTCTTTTCCTACTTCCAGCCTCTAGAATAGATTTCAGTTTGCTGTGTACTTTGAGTGCCCCCTTATTAGAGATTTAAGCATTAAAAAACTGAAAATATGTAGAAAAATAATCCTACACAAAGTTAGTTAATAGAATTTTAAAATTAAGAATTTTTAAATTAAATTTAAATTAAAGTTACTTAATTATTAAAAATCCTTTTTTAATTATTCTCTTATGAAGATTTACTGGCAGTTTTTCACAAAAAATATTGTCTACAAAAATTTTTAAAAAGGAAAGATCAGTAACTGCATGATAACCTACATTAAAATTGATTAATTAATTATCAAACAGGAATTATTTTCAAATACGATACATGAAATGAAATTTCAAACCCCAGCAAGGAAAAAAAAAAATGATTTGAGAGCAAAGCTTTAAAACTGAAACACTTTTGTGAAGAAGATGTATAAAGGTACACCATTCGCGGTGGAATTTAATATGATACAGTCTACATGTATTTTCTGTTGTTCAGCACCACATGATTTGTTTAAATGTAAAATGGCACCTCAGAATAAATTAAAAACTTTAAAGAATTCTAAACACTATTTTAAACATTTTAAAATATATCACATTAGTAAAAATTGTTGTTCAAACAAACTTTCTTGTTTTAAATGCAAAAGTGAAAGTCAGCATGTTCTTTTTGTTCCAAGTAATAACTGAAATAATAATTCTGCAAGAATTAATCAAATGAGTAATAAATACTGAGGATAAATGTAAGAAATCACTAATTGTAATACTGAGGATATTCAAGTGTCAAATAATTCAAATTCTGAAACTGTTCTGAAAGTTCAGTTTCGAAGCGTAATGCAGGTAGCAGTTGTTAAAAAATGTTTATTTACAAAAGTGCACAGTTGTTGCAAATTTAAAGTTTAATTCAAAAGTAACAAGGCTTTATTAGGCCAACAGTTGTTAACACCTTTTTCTTTTTCTTTTTTTTTTTCTCCTCAGGTGAATGGGGTAAGAGCATGTAGCTAATACTATTATATTAAAACAATCTTTGTGAAATACTTTTTGCTTACTCTTTTGGAATGGAATAAGCAACAAAGAAAGAACACAATTTTCTTTTTACCACTGATACAGAAAACAGCATTGCCAAAAAAACGAAAAAAATATTTAAAATTCATTTGGTTTCAAAATTACAATTCTGAATTATTCATAATTCCGAATATGACATGTTTACTGTTTGGGATCATTTCAAGTCCATTCATCCTAACATATAGAATTGAAATGTATTTAATCAAATTTGTAAACAGATATACTTCTAGACAGATTCTCGAATCATATTATACTGGATCCAAAGAATCTTCCACAAACTAGAAACTGTTTGTCTTTAATAAGGTTGCAGAAATTCTAGTGAATGAATCTTGATGAATCTCAGTGTTTGAAAGCATTGTGGCGGTAAGAAAAGTCTTGCAAGCTTATTAACTAGTGGTATAAGTATAAACTCTCTGAAGAATAGCTCACTTTGGTGGTTTTAGACCAGAATCGTTATAAAATCACTGCATACGGCCAATTCCAACAGAAATTTGACCCAGTAAATCATTGACAACTAGAAATACTACGGTAAGATATCTGTTTAAGACTTTATTGTGAAAAGAAATAAACAACTATTAAACATAAAGAAGTTATGTGGGGAAATTTCTCAAAATTTTAGCATGAGTCAATCGCTTCATTGTAACAGCAAGAAAAAAACTGCTACATACAGTCCCATTAAGTGCTTCTGAAATTCAAGATACTGATATATTTTATGGTGAGATGAATTTCAGAAACTTAATGCTCAAATAAATAGCAAAGCTCAGATGAATTTCTTCACACCTGAAATTAGAGCAATGAAAAATATCCAGTTCCCCTTCCTAAGTCTACAGACTTACTGGATTAATTGTGGAGAGAAAACAACAAGGTGCTACATACAGGAGATGCTGCAACTTTAGAGACAGAAGTTTTGGGTTGTTAAAGAAAGTTGTCTAGTATGAAACTTGGTGAAGACTTGGTCTCATATTGTGCATATGCTTATGTAATTTCTAGTTAACTGAGTTATTGCTTATATATTGCTATTTATTATTCAATTTTACATTTACTTACTGAGTAGCTTTTTAATTTTTACTTTAGTATGCTTGTATTTTTACAGTTTCCATTTTGCTGTTTATGTTTACATCAGGTAATTGTACTTGATATCTAAATTGCTTGCTTACATTTGAATTATTTTTCTATGCTAAGATAGTGATAATTTTTGCAAAAAGGTGAAGATTGTTGAGAAAATCCACAAAAGATTAATTAGTAATGTCATTAGACAGCGCTTCCCTTCTGTTTGCTGAAAATCCCATTTAGTTTACGATGTGGTATTGAATAGGAAAGAACTATTCAATAGCAGAACACTCTCCTAAGCTTTGACATTTTTTTTTAGTCCAAAGGGGCTTTTTCCCTGAAGGACTATCGTTTTCGTTTTGCAATTTTGCGTTGAAAACTTTAAAAGGCTGTACCACTTTTCAAATCGTTGCCACCAAATATGATCGCCCTGTATTATACTTGAAGAAATTAAATAATGAAGAATCTGCATAAATGTATGTATGTTTCTCGCACTGTGATAAAACAACGGTACCTAGAGCCATCCAATTTTGAATGACATAATCCTACTGCAAATATGGGCATCTGAAAGTTCAAATTTAAAATTTGGAATTCGTTTTATTATCGATTTCATATTTTGTAAAACTTTTGTAACGCATTTTTGATTGACAAACTCTGCGATTTAAAAGCGAGCAATGGCAACACTCTACGGGGGAGGGGGAACATTTTTATCTCCAGCGCGCGGAACTGTGTATCGAGAATTCTAAAGATATGCTCATTCTAAAATTATTTTGCAACATTGCGGTTAAACTGAATTTTATGGTTTAAGTTTGCACTTAAACCATAAAAAAGAACATGATATTTAATAAAAAAAAGGTTACGTTAAAAACGTTAAAAAACACCCATTTCGACGTAAACCTTTCAGATTTTTTTGTTTTCCCTATAACAAGAGAATCTTGCGATAGGTGCCTTACAGAAATTTTTTTTGTATCGATGGAAACAGGTTTGTACATATATTTTCTCTTTGATAATAAATGGATAGAGTTTGCGATATTGGTATCGAACCGAATTTTATGGTTTAAGTGCGAAGAACATGATATTTAATAAATAAAGGTAACACACAAAATGTTAAAAAAACACTCCTTTGGACGTAATTTAAAATCTGAAGCCTTTCAGATTTTTTTTTATTATTTTATTTGATGTTGTTTTGTTTGTAGATATGTTGTTGTCTACCCTTAGGTTAATAGATAAAAAAGAAAGAAATTGTTTTTCATGTGAAACTATTTCCCATGCCATATGAAAAATAATTTCACAAAAAAGTACAAAGGCCTATGTGATAGCAAAAAAAAAAATTATTATTATTCTATTATTTAAACTTACTTATTCAAAACAAAATTGGAGGTAAAAAGCATAAAGAGGCTGAACTCATTGCCTTGACAAGTATAACCTTTTCGAGCTATTTCATATGACAGCCTTCCAAGTCCAGCACCAGGAACTAAAATGCGGATACTCGAACAATCTCTACAATAAATTAACAAATCTATTATCAGTTTTTTTTTTTTTTTAATGAACACAAAACATTTTTACAGAATGAAGTTATAAAAATTCCTAGAGAAATATTTAGGGCTGGAAACACAGAAGTCCATGCAAACAGAAAACATTTGAAAGGTTTACATAACATGATTCAGTATAGCTAAAATTTTCAGAACAAGGTTTGCAAAGTGTTCATAAAATTCTAAAATCACAAAACTGCTTTTATTATCTAACAGCAACATTAGTTCAATCAAAATTTAAACTTCAATTGGCATTTTATATATATAAAAACTGTGCATTTTGAGAGAGGTATATATGAAAGATTTTTTGCATTTTAAGTGAGACAAATAATGTATCTTTTGAAATGCATAAAATTATTCTATACACCCTTTTTTTTCAAAATTTATATTTCAAATGGTGTCCTCTCCTTCCATACAACAATTTTAGTTAGTCAAATGTCTCTTAATTTATTGCAGAGGAATCCAATATTTTAATTAAAATATTAATATATTATTATAGAAAAATTAACTACAGTTCATGCTATAATTACTTTTATGTATTTGGCTTAAATAATCTATACACTTGCTTCCTTAATTAATGTGATTTGTGTTTCCAAAAGCATACAAAATAAAATTACACTACTTTTTTAAGTTTCTATTAAGCAAAATAAATATAATATTATATATACACATACTTATATAAGTTTGAGGGTTACACTCTGTTAAAAAATATAATTTTCTCACACATTTTCAGGCATATAAATTGATGTCTCGCCTATTATTTAATATATTAAATATGACAAAAGCATGACAGTCTCATCTGTTGGGAAATGGGCAAGACACGACATCTATAACTATTTATATTCTTACCTAATTATATTCAAAATATAATAGCTGATAGTAATTATTTGTTAAAAAAATTAAGGCATTATTTTTCTTTTTTTAATCAGGCATACCAAGCTAAATTATTTCCACACGACTAAATAAATATGTTAAAGAATTTTTTTTTTTTCCAGATATGAATACAACAGAATATCTGCTATACTTTTCAGTTAAAATAAAGAAAATGTTAAGTTAAAAATAAAGAAAAACCTCAATTATCTGCCGCCCTATGGACTGCCATCAAAATGGATAATAAAATGGATGGATAATCCTCCCCCTGCCAATACCAGCTATGGCCAACAGATAATAAAGATACATTTTAGCACAGTGCCTTAAATACAGTAGCACAATACAGAACAAGTAAAAATCAAGATAAGTAAGTGGTCACATTATAACTCCTCAGATTGCTTACTAGTGTATAATAAAAATAAAATATCTGAAATTAATTCAAAACAAATAACAAGTGTATTTTTTATTTTCTAAACGTGCTGTCATTTTCAATTTGATTTAAAATAAAATGTGATGCAAAGTTCAAAATCCAGACCTCCAAAGTCCAAAGGGGCAATTTGCCCAGCAGGACTATTAATTTCATTTTGGCATTTTGTATCAATTCACGATGTGCGCTGTTTCACTTTTCAAATTGTTGCCACCAAATATTATTGCCCTGTATTATATTTAAAGAAATTAAATTATGAAGAATCTGCATGAATGTACGCATGTTTCTTGCATTATAATAAAACAACGGGACCTACAGTCATCAAAATTTGAAAAACATAATCTTCCATAGAATATGGGCATTTGAAAGAGAACTAATTTTAATTTGAAATTTGTTTTATAATCAATTTCATTTTATGGTTTAAGTGAGAAGAATATGATATTTAATAAATACAGGTAACACACAAAATGTTAGAAAATGCCCCTTTAAACACAATTTAAAATCTAAAACCTTTCAGATTTTTTTTTTTTCACTAATGTTCTTTGCCCCCCCCAAAAAAAAAGCATCTAGGACTGCAAAATATAATACTTGAGAAAAAGATGGCGTGTTGTAAAAGTGATTTTGCTCCCATTTGAGACAACTGTATGAAAATTGTACGTTATTTTCAAACATATGATGTTTAGTGAATCACACAGTGGCCAGTGATAATATATTGACTGACACTGTACTGATACAGTACAAAGTGCGAAATCCGAATGTCCATTATCCAGAATGATCTAAAATCTGGACCTGCATGCTTCACGCAGGCACATTTGATTTTTCCTTCCATAATAGAACATGTTTAAATTTTCATTTAAAAATTCAGATTCTTAATTTCACTTAGGCACTATATAAAATACATCGTTATGAAAAAACAATCATGTAAGCATAAATTTGTGAGATTAATAATTTGGCTAATAAAATACATTGTTATGAAAAACAATCATGTAAGCATAAATTTGTGAGATTAATAATTTGGCTCCGCAGCTGAGTGTCTGCTTATATTACATCTCAAACCGAAACATTCAACTATTTTATATCCCTGACACTGACCTGGCGAGTCATTATTTATTATATTTTGCTAACAACACTGCATGTTTATCAATACATGACAGCTTCAGTAATAACTCATACAGTGATGTCTAAACTTTTTTTTATATATTAGTAATTGAATAACAAGAGTAAGGCAACCTTTCATGCTAACATTACACTTGGCGATGATTATAGATTTTTTAAATGCTCTAAGAAATGTTGACGAGGAAAAATTCAACAAAAATTTCTTTTCATATGCTACAAATAGATTTTGTTAATGAAACTCATAGGCCAAAAGATTACATTTAGTGCTATTTTAATTAAGAATAACTGATATGTTATTCACCATAAACCCAGAAGAGGCGGCAGAATTTAGGAAAGACACAATTTTTGGAATTTGGGCAAAATTAAGGGAAGAGTTTTTTATAATTTTTTTTGGGGGGGGGAACACTCAAATCCAAAGTTTGGGTGCGACGTAAATTTAAAACTTAGGCGCTTTGTAGCAGAATTTAGAGACTGCACCAGGTGGTATCTAGCAGCAGCTCTAGATAAAGCCTTAACCTTCTAGCACACGCGCTTGGCAATTTTACATAAGCACACGCGCGTCGTAGTTGTTACAACATCCATTATTTAACCGTTTTGGGCACGAAAAACGACAGAAATGAGTGAATATTGATGATAAATTTGTTAAGAAATAAAATATAATCTTATTATTGTATTATACAAAAGATATCAACAAATATCAAATATAAGTAAATTATTTTATAAGTTCTTATGTTGAGATGGAAATGCAATAATATATTTCATTATAAAAATTTTTAATTTATTATTAAATAATTAAATTTTAAAATCAAAGCTAGTTAATATTCATCAAGACAAGTACAACAATAAAAATGGAAAACACCTTGGTAGGGAAAAAGTAAGTTTAGCATTATTACATCTGCAGGAAATTTACTTCTTACTGGTTACAAAAACACTTTAAACTACTTTATGTTTTTATTATTTCTAAAAAATGAAATAAAAGAAAATAAGGATGGAAATCGCTATTGTTCTCCCATCCAAAGGTTTCCTGTCTTCCTTTTCTCGTCAGATAATTCTTGAATCCAAGCAAAAATCGACTGGTTGCACTTTTTTTTTTTTTTTTTTCCATGAAAACCGATATAAATTTACAGAGCCAACTGTATTCAAATAAATATACATGGGCAATTAATACACAAAACAAAATTTTGCGAAAAAAATATTTTCCAAATTTTAAAACACAACCATGAGCATGTCGTAATTTTGATGAAAAAGCCGCCATGTAGCGCAAAAGCCCAGTTAAAAAAAAAGTCAAAGGACTTCCTGTTGACACATTCCATGATGTGGGGAAGGGTAGAAAGAAGGAATAGAAATGACCTTCAGACGTCTCAGCTTCGATATGCGAAAAATATGCATTTAAAACGGAATTTGTCATAAATTTTGCGCATACACATGTGCTGGAAGGTTAAGTATATGTGGGAGTTTATTTATTCAGGACTCAGATTAGTCTTAAGCATAAGCAAGAAATAAATCTAGGTTAGTAAATAACTAATACACTTCAGGCTTAATTCAGTATGCAATAAGAGCAAGACAAAATATAGCGGAACAATTTGGTTTTCATTGCCAATCTTGTGATATGTAGCCAATAATGTATAACGGATGCTATTGAGCTAGGCTAAAATTATCTTTACTGATTCTAAGATCTTCACTGATTCAGTTAAAGTAGCAAACTGTGCTGCTCCTTAATCTTCTAATTTGATCCAGCTTATTATTTTTTGACAACTGTTATTATTACGCCAATTTTATAAAAATTAAGCTTGAACTTTCGATTATATCAAAAAGAGTTTCCAGTTCTTAAGCTGCCAAAGGATCTACAAAGCGAAACTATGTTTCAATGTCCATTAAACAAAAAGTGGAATTGCTACAAAAAATAAATAAAGGCATATCTGTCTCAAAATTATGCGAGAAGTACAGCATTGGAAAGTCAACTGTATATGGCATAAGAAAAAGGAACTTTTTAAATTTTTTATGAAAGCATCTTAAACAACTTACATTGAAAGAAATGTTTAATAAAGCAAACAAATAAATATTAAGCTTTTTTTTTTTTTTTTAATTTGATACCCTTTAGAACATAATTGTTCTTTATTTCATAATTATGATTTCATATTTTTAAATTGTATAATTTCTGCATGCCATCTTACCAGATTTAAATTGATGATCTATTATCCGGAAAAATCCCAAATCCAGAATCGCTAAAGTCTCGACGAGTTCGTATTTCGGACTTTGTACTGTATTCATTATCACTGCACATTTAGCCCTTGAACCATTGGGTGGGGAGTTAGTATTTTTCGTTTTATCTAAACAATAAGTAAAACTCCAAAACACATTTATTAGTTGTAAGCTGTCACTCATACGGGTTTTCCTTTGTTGGCATAACTGCAGGGAAAGGAGAAAAAATTAGATTCCGAGGAACCTCAATTAACATAGCAAATTGTGCTCTTCCCTTACCGTTTTGACATGAAGCAGCTTATGATTTTGCTCTGTCTATTATCAAAATTACAGTTTTAGGAAATGATAATGTTTTAATTTTACTGTTCCCTTGAAACTGTACATCTGTTAATCAGCCAATGTACATCAAAATTTTGCATGCGCCAAAATGCATACATAAAGTAGTTTTTTAGAAACTAATGCTGCAATAAGATTAGTCAAGAATTCTAGAAATATTTGAATGTAAAATTTCATGTGTAAAACATTGCAAGATCATGAAAGGATATATCTTCAGATGCTTAGCATAATTTATAGCCAGAAACCAAATTTCATGATGATGATGACAGTAGTGAATCTGAATGTTTTTGGATATCACAAGAAAAAGCAAAATTTTCCAAATAATGGGAATATAAAAAGAAATGCTAAATGATGATATAATTGAAGTCTTATATTTGATGACAATACCTCAATCATCAATCAACTAATAAAATTGTGAATATTGATAATATGGTTTTAAAACAAGAAAATCTAACCATTCCGGCTTCTATTCGCACTTTAATTTCACATGGAGGTGATTTGGAAAAAAATCTTTCTTGATCCAAAACATTTCTTTCTTCTTTTACAGTTTCTATATGTCATCTTATTAGACTTAAGTTGAGCTAAAAAGCCAGAATTTTTTTTAACCCAGAAACACCAAAGTCCCAAATATTCCAGATCTTGGACTTTGTACTGGACTGCACTTTGGTAAGTTTAAAAAACTGTCAGGCGAACCATTCACAAATAGCATGATATCTATGATTATTAATTACCAGAACTGCACAATAATTTTCCATTTCTTTCTGTGTAGTCTTATATGGGAACATAATACTTTTTTCTTCAAGACAATATTATTTTAGACTTTTATTCTAAATACTAGGACAAAATAATCTAATATCACTGTACAATTATCTATTTCTCTACTTTAAAACATAACTTTTTTGTAATTATTTTTGTTTGTTAGTGGATCCTTTGCTTTACCATACTCAGAATAGCTGATGGAAAAACAAGCTGAATTAAATCTGTGATGGATATTTGAATTTCCTCGGCAATATAGAAATTTTTACTTCAAACAACAACTACAAAATATATATATACAGTACAAAGTCCGTAATCCAGACTCGTCGGGACTTTATAAAATATATAGAGTAAGAAGTCCATAATCCGGACTCGTCGGACGATTCCGGATTATAGATCATCAATTTAAATCTGGTAAGATGGCATGCAGAAATAATACAATTAAAAATATAAACCGTCATTTATGAAATAAAGAGCATCATGATCTAAGAGTATCAAATTTTACCAAAAGCTTAATATTTATTTGTTTACTTTAAAACTTTTCTTCATGTAAGTTGTTTAAGTAGCTCATGTTTTTGTGCTAATACTATTCCTCTTAATTATAAAACATATTTCTTGTTCAGTTACAAGTTCCACTGTTAAGTCTGTAATTGCTGTGTCGAGAATACCCACTAACTTGTCGATCGAAATTTTTTTGTTCTCAATAACGTTCTCTGATACTTTCTTCACTATCGGAAGTGCGCATGAGTAAATGCTTTACTGGCTTTATGCGCATGCGTAGCGGACATGCACATCAAACGCACATGCGTAAACACTTTACGCGCATGCATAAGTTTGTGGCTTTGAGGTCCGGATTATGGATAATGGACATCCGGATTAGAGACTTTGTACTGTACTATATTGAATAACATATACCATATACAAATTGTGCACCAGTAAAAAATATAATGAGTAACAATTTGTAATGGTTCTTACTAATATGTAAAAACTCTGATATGTAAGAACTATTGCATATTTATCAATATATTTTATTATATAATATTTTTAAAATCAAGCATATAAAGTAGAGAAATAAGAATAATGAATTTTTAAATTACTTTATCCATCATATTTCAAAATATTACCATCAATACATCTATGACACAAAAAGAGCTTTACATTTCATCAGGAGGAAACCGTTCAGAAATCTCATCCAATATAGGCTTGAAGGATGCATCCCGTTCTTCTTTTCCTTCCATACTCCACTCTCGATACAATTGTTTGAAAATTGATTGAACTTTCTCCATATCAAATGGAGTCACATCAGAGCTCATGACTTTCTAGAAGCAAAAGTACAAGTGCATTAACAACTTGCATATTACTATTAAAAAATGAAAAAAAAAAATGCTTAAATTTTTTTTTCACTTCTACATAACGGGTTTCAAAAGTAATGATAATACATTTATTACACATTTTTATTAAAGTATTTGTATACAAGTATTAAATTATCATGCACAAGCATAAAATGTACCCCGCCCCCCCAAGATGAATTGGGTGTTTTGGGCTCAGTAGTACATGCAAGGGAAAAGGAAAACCCCATCCCTCTTTGCTTACATACATTCATAATGGTCTCCAAATCAATTTAAATTTGATATGGTACATGTCTGAATTGCAAATTATTGCATTGAATCCCCCCCTCGAAAATTATTTCCATACGTTACTGGCCCTCGGCAACCAAGTTGTTTCTGTTAGTGACCCTTCTGCTAAAGAGGTTGTGCATCCCTACAGGTTACCCTATTTAACTATTACATAAAAAAACTTGAAAGTGAAAAAAAAATAGGCATGCCCTTTAAATAAATTTAAACATACTGAAATAATGCAGTTTATTTTGATAATTTATATTCATAAATAAAATCTCATTCTAACTGAAAAAACTATTACACAATAATTACAATTAAATATTACAAACACATTAAAATATTACTTACTATATCATTACTATGATCTGCATTCTGAAACAGATGAGCAACATCTTTTATTATAATTTTTATAATTTCATAATTGTGCTCAATTGCCACTCGCACTTTGTCGAGGTGAGACCTGTAATTTTTCAGCAGATCCTGCTGATACTGAGGTAAGGAACTTATATACTTTGTGGAATTATAAAGTCTTTTTAAACTGTGTAGCCTATAAATGAATGAATAAATATAAATCTCTCTATATAACATAATTATATAATGTTATCTATACATGCACATAATATAAACTAATATATGCACATATTCGCACATGATATAAAATTACGCAAACTTTGACGTAAATACTATTGGATATAATGTAGCAAAGATATATTTGCAGTCAGGGTCAGCTTGACAATTTTTTATGCATACAAACTCAGTTAAACCAGCAAAAAATGTACGCCCACTTTACTAGAGCATTCATACTTTTTACATTTTTACAACATATTTGAAGCAAGAAAGAGAAGCAACAAGTAGCAAGACAAAGAAGTAAAGGAGAAATGTGTAGATTCCAATACAAAGGTCAGGTTAAAATTAATACTGCTGCGGTTTTACTTAATTCCTTTTGACTACTAAGATCTTATTTTGCATATTTCAATACTGTTACGAAACGTACAGGCGGCACTTCTGACACCAATTGCTGCGTTTTTCTTTCTGACACCCATTGTTATGTTATTTCTTCTTTCACGTTTGTATGGGGTTCGTGTGGATTTGGAGTGAATAACGACGGCAGCACTTGATGGAATATCGAAACACACTTTATTGGCCGGTATTAATCAGGAACCCTCCAAAATCACATTTAACAGTTGTCGAAGACCTACTATAAACTCGCTGGAACAATCAGCAATACAGCGTTCAGGTTATCAGGCTATAATGGTGAAGACAGCCTTCACTGCAAGCACAGAATACAGCTCCACTCTACTTGTTGTTCTTGAAATCCATGTACTCTCGAGACTCTCCACGCTACAACTCGTGATGCACTCGACGACACAGAGCACAGCTCCCGACTCTTCGGTTCAGTCATTTCCGGAGCTGAACACACTTTCTCGACGATGCACTAAACACGTCATTTCCGGAGCTGAACACACTCTCTCGATGATGCACTAACCACGATACACTAAGAGACACTTCGATGCACTCGACAACCCACTCGGCACTTGCTGTCTGGCTGTCAACTCAATCAACTCCGCACGAACTAACTCGAGACTAACTATCTCACACTCTAGATGAGCCACTCACTGACTCGCCCTCTCAACGAGGTCCTCTCTGACTGTGGACCAGCAGGGTTTATATAGCTTTTGGCTTGTGCTCGAGGACCTTCCCGAATGAATTTTTACCGGCTTAGCCCAGAATGTTCTCAAACACAAACCAAAAACTATATAAACCCTGCTTGTTCGCAGTCAGTGTGCCTATGTGCTCGGCTAGCGAGCTGATAGTCAGTCATCGAGTGAGCGTCTTGAAGTCTAGTGCCAAGTTGGTCATCAAGTGCATCGAGAGAGTCTTTTAGAGTATCGCGAACTAGCACATCGGCGAGTTTTGTCTTAGACTGTGCTGAGTCGAGAGTTATACTCTTGTGTATCGTTGAGTGCATCACGAGTTGTAGTGTGGAGAGTCTCGAGAGTACATGGAGTTCTGAGAACAACGCAGCAGAGTCGGAAGCTGTACTATGCAGTGAAGCTGTCTCCACCGTTATTGCCCGACAGTGTGAAGGCTGTGTCGCTGAACGTCAGTGTGTTTATAACAGTTCGAGGACTGTAAAAGTGATTTTGGAGCTATCTGATTAATATTGGTAAGTAAAGTGTGTTTCGATACTTCATCAAGTTTTGTTGTTATTCACTCCAAATCTATGAACCACGTACGAACGTGAAGGAAGAAAATAATGTAACAACTGGTGTCAGAAGAAAAGCGCAAGAATACTATTGTTGGTTGAAACATTATGCAAGTACATGTGTCATGAGTCATGTATAAGAATTATATAACAGTTTTGAAATAATGCAGTTTAGAGAGATCTAGGTACTTTTTGATTATCTGCCAAATCTTTAAAAAAAAAATCACCAGGCAATGTACTCTGTCACCAAAATAGGTAACCATAAGGTCGGTAATATATTGGGTTAGAATAGAGAGAAGGGAACCCCTTGTATTATCATGAGGTTATTCATTTATCGCTAAGTTGTTGTTTCATTTATGTAGCCTGAGTAGCTGAGTAGTTATGGAAACCCTATTACGACAAAATCGGTTGCATGATTGTGGTAAACTCATAAGGGTTTGTTGTGTGTGTTAGTTAGGAAGTATATTGCTTGTTTTGTGATTTAGACGGTAAAATGGCTAAATGTGGTAAGATTAACTTGAAGTTTCTGTACGCTTTGGAAAGAAAGGGGAAAAGAGCATTATTTGACTGGTGTGTAAATAAAGGTTTACTTAGTAACCATTATTAGGTGTCCTGTTTGTAGTAATGAAACGCGTATGGTCAAACCTCAGAAATGCGTACGGTCGAACGGAGGATATTTTTTACTCTTATTTTGTGAATTTATTATTATTTGAGTCTTATTATTGAGTCTTTATTATTATTATTTGACGCAAGTATACAGATTCTAGTTCCAATAATTTTAAGAAGTTTTTGAATGCTGTTAAGGAATTTTGTTTGACTGAAGACACAATAATTTGCAAATAAGGTAAGTGGATATTTCCTTTGTGTAGTACTAAGATAAATTTATTTTCTTATGTTATTTCATTGTTTGATTTAAAATTTAGTTTACTGAGATTACATATTTTTTACTGGCTGCTCGTCTGACTTTTTAAGTGAATATAGATTGACGTATATATGGACAAAGGGAGTGTGCAATGTCTAGTTTGTAGAATTCTCTGATGTTTTTTTAAGTGAAAATAGGTCAATGTGTACATGGATACTCAGTTTGTGCAATTCTTTGACTTGTTACTTTAAATTTGTGTAGTGGCAATCACCACTACACAAAGCCAAAATAACAAGTCAAAAAATTACACAAACTCAGTGTCCATGTACCATCAAAAATCACCAAAGGCACCTGTAAATATATTTTTACCTAAAATTTATGTTGAAATTGATGCTAAAACTATTAATTATCATCACTTAAATATAGCTAATATCCTTACATATTTTCTCATTGACCATTTTTGACAAATGAAAACTTTCACCAAACAGTGCAATTTAGTGTTAAAAATGGATAAGCAAGAGGTCACAACATATTCAGTGAACTCCGCTTTGGCTTTATGCAACTCTAATTAATCTTTCACAAGTCAGTTTATCTGTTAATTTATTAATTAAATTAAAAGCAATCTTTTCCTTCCAAACTTCAGCCAATATGACTAGGGCAAGTTTGAGCTTATATAGTCAAAAGTCATTAATCCGGACTCTTCGGGACTTCGGCGATTCCGGATTATAGATCATCAGTTTAAATCTGGTAAGATGGCATGCAGAAATTATAAAATCAAAATTATGAAACCGTAATTTATGAAATAAAGAACAATTATGATCTAAAAGTATCAAAATTTACAAAAAAAAAAGCTTAATATTTATTTGTTTTACTTTATTAACCTTTCTTTCAATGTAAGTTGTTTAAGTTGCTTCATTTTTTATTGCGATAATACTTTCTCTTTTAATTCTATAAACAGATATAATTTCTTGTTCAGTTACGAAGTTCCGCTGTTCAAGTCCTATAATTGCTGTGTCGAGAATACCGACTAATTTGTGAATCAAAATTTTTTCATTTTCTATAACATCTGTGTCACTTTCTTCGCTATCGGAAGCAAATTATAATGACGAGGAATTTGATTTAAATCATATCAAAGACGGAGTACATCGAGATGAAATACTACATTTAGTAAGGAAATTTACGCCAAATAAAATCATCTGCCCTGAAGATAAGGATAGTGCCAACAGACCAACTTCCAATTCATCGCGTGGCGAGGCGTTCCCCCCCCTGCCTCAGAGCAGCGTGAAATTTATAAACAGATTTCGGAATGGTTAGATAAACAAAGGATATGCCTTTATCCATTTTTTGCAGGAATTCCACTTTTTGTTTAATGGACTTCGAAACATACCGTCAATGCGACGCATGCGCAGAAAGTTTGTAGCTTTGAGGTCCGGATTATAGATCATTCTGGATTATGGGTGTCCGAATTAACGACTTTTGACTGTATTTACTTACATTTTTAGTGCTATATCTGTAGATTATCTAACTAAATAAGGGGAGATATGGTCCTTCAAACTCTTCTGGAAATACAGAAGCAAGTTTGGCAAGATCTCCGCCAATTTTCGTGACATTTCTGCCAAAAACAACAAGTCAATAGTAATACGCACGAGAATCACAGATTTAATATGAATAATGTTATATTTTAAATTTTAAGGCTGCATGAAATGTACAACTTTTATCTGAAAAAATTACTCTACACCTTCCATCTTTAATTCAATTGAATGCTTTTTCAGAAAAACACGACATATGAATTCTAATTTCTATCATCTCAGTCACAAAATTATTTCCAGAGGCCTCTTATACAAAAATTTTTAACAGCTTTGGAACACATTTAGGAGAAAATTAAATCCCAGCAATGGACCTCTTTCTAATATGTGGTATTTTAAGGTATCTGGTAATACCTGGTAATTTAGATTTCACTCAAATGCAATAAAAATTTCAACTAAAAAAATTTCCTGGGTAAAAGTATATTTATGGGTACCCCTTGGCGAAAATTGACACTTTATGGCAGCACATGGATACCGAGTTTGTGCAATTCTTTGACTTGTTAATTTGGTTTTGTGTTGCAGCGTTTTCAGTAATAAAAAGCGGCGCTACAAAAAGACAAAATAACAAGTCAAAGAAGTGAATAAACTCGGTATCCATGTACACATTGACCTATTTTCACTTAAAAAAACATCACAGAATTGTACAAACAAGGATTGCATACTCACTCCCTTGACTTTATCCATGTACACATCGACCTATTTTCACTTAAAAAAAACATCAGAGAATTGCACAAACTTGGCATTGCGCACTCCATTGACTTTGTCCACGTACACATCGATATATTTTCATTTAAAAAGTCACAGGAGCATCCAATTCTACCGTAGAGGGAAACAAAAAATACATAATCTCAATAAACCACATTTTAAACCAAACAATAAAATAACATAAAAAAGGAAGGTACAACTCTGATAAACGCCCTAATTTCACCAAATGTGGCGATATGTGTTTTGCGCTGGTTTTTGGCGCGATTGCGTGTTGTACGGCAACCATGTCGATGTTGAAAAATTTTTTGGTGGAGTAGTTTAATAATTGCTAGTTGGTTCGTGTCGCGTGTGTTTTTGAAATGGCCTATGTTGCAATGAAAGACATGGTGGGAAGGTTTCAGCCGCGTATTTTAGATTGTGTGCAGAGTAATTTAGTATGAAAAGGTACGATGTTGGAGTTATTAACGAGTCTTTTGTTCACGGATGTATTTATGGGGATCGTGTATTTTTTGGAATTTCTGTGGGAGTCGGGACTTTAAAACGGAGTTTGACGTTGTCCGAAATGTGGAGCTGATATGGGAACTCGGACGAAAATGGTGTTTCTGAGAGACTTGCAGTAAATTGTTTGCTAATAAAGTATGTGGGTGTCAGCGGAGTTTAAGGTTTGGATCTTGGCTTTCTGTAGCAAGTTAACGTTGGGAAGTTTTTATTGTTACTTTCGAATTTAATCGTAGGAAGGCATGTGATATAGCAAATCGTGGAAGTTTTCTTCACACTTGTGTGACTGTGAAATTTTTTTTACGATGTTATTTTTGGACTTTTGTGCTCTGTATCTGAGAAGATAGGGGGGAAGATATTTCTGCTTTTAAAAAGCTTTCATTGTGGTAAGTGCATTTATTTATTGTTTTTATTTTGTAGAATTTATATTCATTGTTTTTTGTATAATTTCCGTTTTTATTGTTTTTGGTTTTTTTTTTTTAATTGTCTGAAATTTATTTTAGTTTTTATTGGAAGCACTTCCGCAGAGACCCGGTAAATGTAACATGCCAACTTTGGCGATAATAGTTCAACCTGGTAACCTATGGATATATCCTTTCCTTGTTCGAAGTATGCAACCACTCTTTTGCGTTTATTTTTGTTGAATTATCACTGTCTTGTTCGCATTTGCAGATTTATATTATTCTTCTCTTATTTATTATTATTTTTTCTGAATTTTTTACAACGAATAAATAGAATTTTCGTAGATAGATGCCGGTTCTCGGTTTCGGTGAAAGGGGGGTGAATGCTATTTGTAACACGGCTGTTCATGTTGTGTTTCTTAATTAACAGCTCTAAGAACCAGAGGTTTCCAACGTCTAAAGTACTTTGTTTTCGTAGACCGCAAAAATGTGCATTTTAAATAATTAATATGTTTATTTTTAGTATTCGTATGGCATCAAATTCTGAGAATAAATCAATTTTTATGGCGTAAAATTTAACAAGATATATAGGTTAATGCCTTTCTAACAAACCTTCAGAGGATGGCAGGTGTGACATAAATAAAAATTAAATTGAAATAAAAAATATTGATTATCTAAGATGACAGAATAATACGATGCATCACCATGGTCATCAAAACTAGCAAACCACTGCTGGTGTAAGGAATATATTGTTTCTGTGTTAACTGGAATTTAAAGACAAAGTTTTTCGTATGTCACGTTAAAACCAGTTAATTTCAATATGTTAATAATATTTATGTTTTTAAATGAATTTTATTTCGTTAAAATACTCTTATGCTTAATATATTCTTTTCTGTGCTACCTTGAATTTAAACAATTTTCGTGTATCAAACCGGTATTACATCTACATGCTTATTACTGGATTTTACTACAAGCTGCTTAATCTATTGTTTTATCGCTAACTTTGAATTTACATGCACTAAAAACTCACGGCTCGGATTATCGTCGTGCCACCACGGCGAGTAAAAAGCAAACGTCAACGGTTCTCTGCTGAAAACACCGTTATTTTTCTTGATTTGTTTTTTAGTGTACTGTGCAATCGTATGTTTTTTTTTAAGTTTAAACAACGCTGTGTACATGGTATTCTTTAAATTTATTGTTGTTATGTTAATTTATTAAAGCGAGGTGTGCGTAGTCGTAATTCGTTCGTTGCCTACAGATTGCCATTCGATGTTTTTTTAAGTTAAAACATGTCGCTGTGTACATGGATTCTTGTCAAATATTTTTGGTTAAAACTTATGTTTTTGCTATCTAAGTTTTTTGTTTTGTTTCGGATTTTTACTTAATCGTGGTTTCAAAACGTGTTTTTTGCATGTGCGCAAACCATGTTTTTGGACATTTAGCTTAAAGTTCGAAATGTAGAACAAAAATTTGATAGTATATAGCAGCGTGAAGTTTCTTGCCAATATTTTTGGCGACTTGAGGACGCTATCAGAGTAGTTTCAAAAGGAAAAACCTCTTATGCATCCAAGCACTACACAAAGTAAATATTCACTTTAGTAATTATTTAGTAATTTCTTCATCTTCAGTCTGTGACACACAAAATTCCTTAACAGCATCCAAAAACTTCCTAAAATTATCTGACCTTGAATCCGTATATCGACATCGCTACATAAATTCATAAAAATAATGTCTGGAAAATGGCTACTAAGTAAACCTTCATTTACGCACCAGTCAATTAATGCTCTTTTTCCCTTTCATTTCAAATTGTACAGAAACATCAAATTAATCTTACTACATTCAGCCATTCCACCGTCTTAATAACAAAACAGCAGTGTACTTTCTAACTAACACACACCGCAAGCCCTTACAAAACATCCCATTATTCAAAATTTACTGCAGTCACGGCAACCGATTACGTCATAATGGGGTTTCTATAACATTCAACTACTCAGGGTACCATAAATAAAACAACAACTTGGCAATAAACGAAACAACATATTGGTGATAAATGAAACAACAACTTTGCGATAATACAAGGGGTACCCTTCAGTCTACTGTAACCATTTCATGTTTTATGACAAAATTTGCTCTGTAAAGCATTACAAAAATTTTAGGTAGAAATCCAAAAATAAATGCTAAAATGACAAGAAATATTCTTGATCCAAAAGTAGTTTAGCAGACTTTATAACACCATAGAACACTTATTTCCCTTCTTTCCAAAAAATTTCGGTGCTACTTTATCAAAACAACAGCTGAGTAAAACTATCTATCAATGTTTAAAACTGAAAACAAAAAAAAATGTTTTGAGTTCATTTAAAATTTCTCAGCAAAGTTTGAGTTCCAATTAAATCAAACACACAGCTCCTTATTTAAGCAATCAAATAATTAGATATATTAACGCTAGATTACGAATATGGGCGACAGATCTTCCCTGGTGATACTGTCACAAGCTTGCAACAATGCGGTTGACTTTCAGAATTGCACCTTTCAGCAGCTGAACGGTAATTGTAAACACCAGGGAGGGGGAGAAGTAGAAGAAGTACTATGATCTTTTGTTGAGAGCTTTAAATAGCTATTAACAAGAATTGACAAAAACCTGAGTTTTCAATAGCCGTCAAGTGTAAATCCTTTCAGTAATTCCAATCAAATCTAAAGAATTTTCTGATGGAAATTTATTTCACGATAATATCAGACATCACAAACACTGAAATAAGCAAGAACTATGCTGAAATACACAAAAGGAACTCCAGTCTTCTCCAACCAATTGTTTTGTTAAGATTCAATCTTAAGATTCTTAAGATGTAAGAATCTTAAGATTTTCCATTCAGATTAAGAATCCCGAATTAATTACGCACTATACTTGCTTTCATAATACTAGTCCTTAACAGCTAGGTCTTTAACACCCTTTATCATGATTTGAAAATCATCATAAACATTAAATAATGTTTGAAAACGTTTGAAAAGTTCAAATGAAATAAAAGGGATGAAACTTCATCAAATAAATAATTATAATATACGAATACTTAAGAGCTCATATGTAACAATGAAATATTTCGAGTTCATTCCACTCTACATAAAATATATAGTAAAAGAGTACAAACTTGTAACTTCGAAAAGCATTCACAATACGCTGAAAATGTTTCCTTTCCAAATCATCATCAGTTTCTACAGAATTTTCATCATTTCTGTTAGATTCAGTCACTACTTCATTTGAAACTTCAGTTTTAATAACTTCACCGGTAGACTGTTCAATACTCGCTTCCATTCTTTCAAAAGAGCATCTACTTCAACAAACAAAAATAATAAACGCTGCCAGCTGCGAAAAGCAACATGTGCACATCTATGGAGGCTTATCTCCTTTACCAATCAGATAACGAAATATAAAAGGATAGTGTTTTTTCATTACTTGTCCTTTACTTCAATCCTTGAAAATTAATCAAAAAGAAAAAGAGAGAGAAAGTGATAAAGATTTCAGATACGCAAGTTATGGAGTAATGTTAAAAAAACGTAGGAAATAAAAGACACATTTGATAATAAATATAGTTCTTGTTTTTAGATTGCTCCCGAGGATTTACTAAATCTTAACAATTAATCTTAACAATTAATAAGAGAAACTGTTTACCTATTTCCTATTTATGTCAAAGTTAACATGCTTTGAGGAAAAACAAATGTACTAATATTCTCAGTTGTATTCTGATTTTCAAATCGCAAGTAAATCATTTATTCATACATACGTGTTAATTAATACTTACGTGTTAGTGCCAATCATCTTGGCGCAGTTTCGCGATTTTCTTTAACGGAAGAAAAGGATACTGGCTTATAATTGCGAAAGAATTGTTTATTACATACACGCGTAATATTTACGTAATAATATAATTAATTACGCATATATATAATACGTAGGCGGATAAAAAAAATGTTACAAGCATCAACATTTGAGAAGTAATTATTGTAAAGGGAATACTTTATCCCCAGAGTATAGGCACTGGTTGTCTAGCAGCGGTTGTGTAAGCAGATAGAATAAGTTTTCTCTTAGATGTTCTCCATTTCCCAGAGAAAAGCAGAAATACCCATCTGACATTCTTCATCCTTAACATTTTTTACTCATACTAGATTCTTCAGTTCACTGATTTGGACCTTTGTGGAGACACTAGGCAATAGAATTTAGGAGTAGCAATTTTTTTTTTTTTTTAATTTAGGACACTGCCACGCAGCAGAACTTCGGACCAACAAAAATTGCACCGGGGGGGGATAAAATACTTAGTGCCGGCCCTGCCTGTTATCTGAAAGAGTAACGCTTAGCGATCATCTGAGTGAGTAGAATGACTGCCAGTATATTCTCTGGTTTCTGAAAGTGATTGTAGTGTGTCTGATGGATCATGCTTTTAAGCATGTCTGAGGGATGATGCCGCCCTTTGGGTTTAAGGCCCAGAGGTGGAGCGGAAATTTACTTATACCTCTCTGTGAGCTTCGCAACTTCTGCCTGAATTTATGGCATGAACTGGGTAGTGGACTCATCAGAGCGTTCATAACACCTACTTATGTTATTCACCTACTTATGTCATACTAAATTTTTAAACTAAAGTTACAAATGTTTATAACCGTTAATCTGTTAAAAATACTTGTCTGACATTTTTTAAGAATATTTCTCGAAGCTTTTCCATTATTATCTTCACTAACTAAATTGAATCTTTCGCGAATTATATAAAAAATGTTTCATTTTTTGGCTAATAATGGCCTGCTAGTAGCCAAGCAATTAAGACCATTGAACACTGACAGTTTGACCCGGGTTCAAATCTAAACCAATGCGCTGGCTTCATCAACTTTTCGTAACTTCACCCACATGTGAACATAAAATACCAGCTAATTCTACATGTTAAGTCCAGGCACACAAGCGGCAGTGTTTAAGACACTTAAAAACTAGTAGCTGGTGTTGCACAAGGGTCGGCGCTTTCGCCGTATCTTTTTCATATTTATACGCAATACATCCCTAAAGACCCTTCTGTTCATCTTGCAATCTTTGCCGATGACACCGCCATTCTTACTAAGGTCTGCACATCTATCGTCTTACTCCAAAACTATCTCCTAAAGCTCGAAAAACGGCTCACCCTTCGGAGGATTAAACTTGACCCTGATAAAACCAATAATTTTCCGTAAAAGAAACATAAACTATTACCCTTCACCCCCTGAAATATTTGACGAAGAAATAGACTGGATTAATGAAACCAAATACCTTGGAATCACCCTGGATAAAAAATTTACCTTGAGAACTCACTTCTCAGTAGCACAAAATTTAAAATCACCTCAGCTACTATGCGATCTCTTTTTGGTAGAAGAAGCAACGTATCTACAACAAACAAATTAATTTTATATCGCTCGATACTTCGTCCAGCCCTCCTTAATGCAGCTCCGGTCCCACCAGCATCCGAGCGGTAAAGTCACTGAACACTGGTAGTTCGGACCAAGGTTCGAATCCCGCGAACGGGCTGGCTACATGGACTTTTTGTTTCCTCGTTACGGAAACATTTCCTAGGTCTACAGGTTTAGTGGTGTTGCGATTGAAAACTAAAAACTTACCAGGTGAGTTTTTCATTAAACTGTTGCTTCGAAATTCAGTCTCAATCCAATATTAATCGGTCACAAAAGTATTCGAACACCGGTACCCTATCAGAAAATGACAAGATGGCGTTTTTTTTTCTCTTTCTCTCTGTGTGTCGTGTTATTCCATCCTAGGTTTTCTTCTCCCCCCCATCTTGGAAAAAAACTGGAAAAAATTGGTTACGATCTCTTTTTGAATGGGGAGATGCCATTTTGAGAAAAAGCTGACGACCCTATCTTGGAGAATGAACATGACCGCTCTACACACCCTTTTACTCTCTCTCTCTCTCTTTGAATTGGGAAGCCATTTTGGGAAAAAGCAGACGACCCTATCTTGGAGAATGGAAATGAACGCCTCTCCCTCTCTCTTTGAAATGGGAAGCCATTTTGGGACCCTCTATTCTTGGGGAGGGAGAAAACTGAAGTCTGCATTTCGCTGTCTCTGAATGCGGAAAGCCCTTTTGGGAAAAGCGGACCCTCTTCTTCTGATCTTGGAGAACTGGAAATGAACGCTCTACACGATCTCTCTTTGAATTCAGAAGGTATTTTGGGACCTTCTAATGTTGGAAAACTGAAATGAACGCTCTACACTTTCTCTCTCTCTCTCTCTTCTCTTCTCTGAAATGGGTAGCCATTTGAAAACTCCCTAACTTTGGAAAAAAACAGAAATGAACGCTCTACACCATCTCTCTTTGAAAATGGGGGGGTGTCATTTTGAGACCTCCCTCCCCTAAACTTGGAAAAAAAAACTGAAATGAACGCTCTACACTTTCTCTCTTTTGGACATGGGTAGCCCTTTGGGGACCCTCTCCTCTTGGTAGAAAAAAAAAGAACTGAAGTGAAGGCTCTACACAATCTCTCTTGGAATGGGATCCATATTTCGGGAAACGTGGATCACCTCATGCTGGAAAACTGAAGTGAACCACCAAGATTGGACTCTATATAATATTTTTTTTTAATTGACATCATGACCCTCCTCCAATTTGTTATTAAAAAAAATTGTTTTTTTTGTTTTGGTTTTTATCCCATTTCCGATGTGATTTCAGAAATGCAATTCCATAACAGTTCAATTTCATTCGAGGTTAAATGATCTAAACAGTCTTTGACCCACCCATCCGTATGATTATTTTCTTCTCCTTCCTGTTGCACCAAATTTTGTAAGTCCATATAATCATTCCATACGGGAAGGGCTGGATCCTCACAAGGCTGTCTTGAAACACTTGGAGTCTCTTTGGGATGAGTGGAGGGATCTAGGATGTCTGGACCCGGCTGCGATTCTACCTCCATGATTTCTGGACCCGTTGGAACTTGTTTACCCGGCTGAAATTCTACCTCCATGATTTCTGGACCCGTTGGAACTTGTGAACCCGGCTGTGATTCTGCCTCCATGATTTCTGGACCTGTTGGAACTTGTGGACCCGGCTGACATTCTACCTCTACGATGTCGGGACTTTTTGAAGCTTGTGGACCCGTCTGACATTCTACCTCTACGATGTCGGGACAGGTTGGAGGAGAAGAAGAAGAAGAAGAAGAGGATACTGGAAGAGGTTCTGTCTGTGAGGAGTCCGAAAGAGGTTGCCTGTTTGAACAAGTCGGGGAAGAAAGAAGAAGAAGAAGAAGCTTCTGGATTCTGAAGCGGATCTTGCACGCCAGGTAGGTTCCGGTAAGTCGACCGTTTTTTAAGAGGTAATTTTTTTTCTTCCTCCTCATCTTCAATTGTGATGACTTCAATTTCATTCCGTTGCCGGGTCGATTTTGTTTCGGGCCAAATGAACGGTTTGGTCCAGCTCCTCTTATCATCTAAGGAAGGGATGGGTAAAGGTGGCGGAGGGTTTTCTTCTTCTTTTTCTTGAAACATCATCGGCGATTGGAAAGAAATCTCCTCTTTCAATTGTTTCCAAAGCGAGTACGAGCACCGATCGACGAGAAAGAGACTCTTCTGGGTTGTGACGATGAGATATTGCGTTTTCGGGGGAACGACATAGTTTTGAAAAGGTCTTAGAATATATTTCTTATATTTCATCCTGTCGCTGACTTTAAAACTTCTTTCCTTCAGATTGGGGGACGATGATTTCGTAATAGGCGAGAGGAGCGGCTGTGGTTTGAACAATATGAACTTCGTCCTCAGCCGTCGTTCTCACTCCAAACGTAAAATATCGTTTCGTGAGAAAAATATTCTTCCACCGAAAACTCGTGCGCGGATCTGTATATCGCCGGTCTGTTTGAATGGGCCGTCTCAAAGCTCGATCCATCCGATTCCAAGAGAAGGGAGATTCCTCTTTCGTTTGTTGCGATTCGAATAAATTTCTGTATATATTCTGAACGAGCAGGTTGGAGGATTCGACATCTTGGTTGAAAGAAACGATCGCTTGATGAGGTGGTAAATGCGGAATAAATGTCGCACAATGACACGCCAAAAAAATTTTCAAGTTGGAGATTTGCTTTAGCGTCTTCAAATCCTCCCCGTTCGAAATCCGTTGAGTTGGAAAAACGTCTAATAGCGACATGGCTCCCAATGGAAAAGAAATGATCTCGCCCAGTACTCTCGTCTTTTTATATATCTATATAGACACACACAGACACACATAGAGGCTCTATGACGTCCGTTTTATTTGTTTTTTTTTTGTTTCTCTCTCTTCTTTCCAAGAAATCTTATCTCCATGACCTCTTTTTCTTTTCTTAAAAAGATGAATGTGTGTGGGAATGAGGAAGTGAAAGTAATAATTTAATAAACAA